AAAATAAGGGTGCGTCTTATATTCCAAAAAATAAGGTAATGCATAGCTATGACTTACAGGAATAAGTATTAAAAAGATGGGTCTGTTATTCATAAACTGCAGTAATTCAGGTTCTATTAAATGATTTTTAAATTAAATATATCTTATAGAAGTACTGCAGATAAAGAGAAAAACATTGGCTTAGAAAAATAAAACTTTTAATTATGCTTTAACATATTAAACTTATTTGACATGAAACATTGTGCTTTATTAACTCTCTCGAAACAAGGTCGGTCAAATTGACCGACCTTGTAACCATTTTGTACTCATCACAGTTTCCATACTATAATTTTTAATACATTATGTATTTTCACAAAATACAGCAGACTTTTAGTACACATTACAAGTCTTTTGTACACAAAAAATCAGATATGTTAGTGAAGTCTTTTTACTAAAGATTTGTCCATGAATATATATAGTATTTCTATATACTAATCTGAGTGCTAAGTGATTTACATGTTAATATTAAAAATACTTTTCTACGTCTCAAAAATTTCAAATTTTATTTGCATTATCTCTAAGACCTTCTAAATAAATTCCAAATGTTTTTTTTCAGTAAATCTTTATATTTTATCTGTTATTTTCGATACTCTAACTTTATACAAGGTCGGTCAATTTGACTGACCTCGTAACCACATTAAAAGAAAACTCGAAATAAATCTAAATTACCCTTTTTTCTTTCTAAAATGAGTTCAAATTGTAATATGAAACTACATTTGTATATCCTAAATAGCTTTAAAATCATAACAGCATACATCTGTTTATACTTGAATTTTATTGTTTTATTGCCCTTTGTACCCTGTCACGTTATGCTATCGAATTACCTTACACAAAAGCTACTCACAAGTTTACATCATGAAAATTTTTTATTATATTATTTATTTCACCTAATCTAACCTTAACTAACATAAGTTTCCTATTTTTACATTTTAGTAGCTTTTATATTAATAAATAAAGAATGCACAAGAAAAAAGTACTTATTGTCTTCTTTTTTTTTATGTTGACTATCGCTGACAATTAACCCTACTTTTGTATACTAATTGCAGTACTGCATTAAATAATTTTTTATTTGATTAAATAATGCACCAAAGAACACAGAATACTAATGTGCAAAAAGCAGACAATGTCCCATAACTCTCACAATTTTTCTGGGTTTCTAACTATGCGACAAAATCCTTTAAAATTTCATCTAAGCTCATTGATGTGTTTCCCCTGGGAATCTAGCTTGAACTGAAAGTGAAACTGACAATTCCTTTTACAAAAAACAACATAACATAATGTCATTTGGTAAATTAAAACCTTGGCTTTATATTGGTTATAAATAATATAGTATTGAACATAAGAGAGAACTATTGGCAATTTCTGAAAGGGAGGATATGACATGTGGGCATGGCAAGAGGGATCTGGTTGTCTATTTCATGGCTCTGTAACAAAATAATATTGAAGGCTATGAAAATTATGCTTTGCCTATGCTATGACAGTATTATAATAAGTAATTTATGTTAAATTTCGTACTTCTTGGAGGGGTGATAAATAAATTAAAAAAGATGGGATGCCTAGAGAGCAAGTGTCTCAATTCTCACATTAGGAGAAATTCAAATTTTTTCTTTTTAATATTGCTTTATAAATGTAAGAGCTTAAACCTTATATGCTATTAAAATATGGTTATTAGCAACATATTTATGGTATGTTTTTTGGTATACCATGAAAAGAAAGTAATTTAATTAAATTTTTAACCTAGCTTATTGCCAACTCATAACATGCGCAGAAAAAGATGCCCGTAAAGATAGGGTTAATGCTTCATATGTCTTACGAAATGGTAAGTCAAGTATAAATAACATGTTTGGGAACTATGGGTATTATCTATGCTTAGATAAAACTTATGAACTAGTTTTAAGCAGAAAATCTCAAACCTTAAAAATAAAAGCAATAAATACCATGTATTCCTTTTTCAAACTACATATCCATAAACATATTTGTTTACTTAGTTATATTTTAAGTTAAATATATATCACCAGCAAATAAAAATAACATTAGTTTCACAAACATCTCTTAAAGTCATATGATCTTTTGAAATTAAATTCAATTCATGTCAGTTTTACTGTATTATTTTTTAACATATCTAAAATATTTGATTGTAAATACAAACTTTGTACACATCACTGTCAAAGAATAAGCTTGCTTCCTCAACTTCCAGTGGTATTACACTGCAAGGTTTAACGGCATCACCTAATTGTCGGCACGCTAGTCTGGCAAGACTTTGATAGAGGGATATTTTTGCATCATCAGGAGGTGGTGATTTATCTTTTTGATGATACTCATTCTGCCAGTAGAAACTTATTCCTGGTGAAACTGATTAAACAAACCCCATTACTACAATACAATCTTTTATAAGATATGAACAGTTGATTATCATAAAAATAAATAAATTTAAAAATAGAAGAGCAAGATGTAAGTATATGATTTGAATGAAATTAATACTGTGCGAGATTTCACTTTCAAAAATTACAATTAAGGACTTAGCAAACTAATGTAATGGAAAACGTGACAGTCGAAATTCAAGGTGGATTTGAACGACACAATATTTAAATAACATTAAAGCCTTATTGACATATTATAAAAGCTGATTAATAACTCAAATATAAGTTTAGTTTTGTTACTTCAGTATATGAATTTCACATTTTAACACTTAAAATGAATTTCAAGCAGGTACTCAACTCTGAAATGCTGCTTGTTTATCTATGGCAAAGCTACTAAGTCTATCTGCTGTCATCCCTAATTTTGAACTGCTGATCATATAGAAAGCCAACAGCACCTACCTTTACTATTGAATACTGGGAATGACCATCATGTAATAACACCCACATGGCAGAAAGGGCGAGCATGTTTGGCACCATTTCCGATCCCATGTCCCACAGAAAACAAGTCAAGTGCTCTAACCATTAGGCCCACTGAAATACTGAGTCTTTCCTTGTCAAGTTCTTAACAAGCTGTCATCAAACATGTTGATCAAATTTCTGAATGTCCTTGACACAATAGAGAGCTTGTATCAGTTTATCAATAATTCTTCACTCCCGCACCATCCACATGACTTATTGTGTATGACTCAGGAGATGAAAGGCTAAGAAGAGATCTTTGAACAATAGTGACAAAAGAGATTAATGAATTCCATGCATCTGAAAGTGACAGATAATGGAGCACTGTAAATAGCTATTGAAAAAGATGGTAAGTAACAATCACAAAACACATGCATAAAGAAAAAAGTAATTTATTCAAGAGCTCAAGATAAAGAAGACAAGTACCTTTCAGAGTTTGTACATTAGGGTCCAACAAAACTGATAGATAATCAGAGAAGAGTGTCTACAAGAATGGGCTAATGTTTGAGCCACCTGTAGAGAGAACCTGTCTTCTCAGACAAGGGACCAAATAACAGATAGCCACAAGTTCATAGATGGCAAATGTCATTGTGAGAAATTGATGTTTATGGTTGTCACAAAGGACTAATTGATAGTGGAAATGGAATTGGTATCCCATCAAAGGGGAAACCATGGATGAACTGGCCAAAATGAAGTAATGAGGCAAATCTGGCACTGATTTTGGCAAATACCCAAGTAAGAAGGCAAAGAGGAGGATAGGCATATAGGAAGAGGTTTTCCCAAGATTGACTCAAAATGTTCAATGCCAGAGAATTTTAATCTGGAACTGGAAAGCAGTAGAGTGGAAGAAGATGGTTGTCCATTGTAACAGATGAATCAAACTTTGAATGAATCTGTGAGGGGAATCTGAAAACTATTAAGAAAGAGACTCTGCAAAATGTTCATTGTACCAGGAACATGACAAGTTCAATGGTAAACATGTTGGGAATGAAGCCAAAGGAGGAGAGAAACTGCAGCTAAGAAAAGGCTGTTAGAATGAATACAACCGTGACTGTTAACATAAGTCATCAGAGTGGAATTTGTATCAACATAGAATGATGATGTAGAAGAGGCAGAAACTGGAGACAATCACACTACAAAGTACAAAATTATTACACATTGATGTGAGCTGTTGCTTTATGAGGAGTCCAATAACTAAAATGGTGCTGATTTCCCATCAACTTGTGAAAGAGGTATCGGTGAAAATATGAAGGTCAGTGGAAGAATAAAAGAAGATCCTGCTGTTGTAAACTCTTGAATCAACCCAAACTGGAGAAACTTCTAAGAGATGGAAGAAAGAGCTACACTACATGGGTCAAAGGTCAGATGCCACTGAGAAACATGTCTCAACAAAGGTATTATATGTGAGCATGCTCCATGAGAATGACTTTGTGAAGCCATCATCTACAAAAAAGCAGAAAGGATGTCTTCAGCAGTAAAAGTGGAAAACAGAATAGTATGTACACAAAATTTCAAGGCTCGTGAAGCCAGTGGAAATGGCTAAAGTATCCCTTGAACCTTGTTGACTCAAAATCCAAAATATAACAAATACTATGCTGGCATTAAATGAGATTTGGAAGTGTGGAGGATCCACATAAAAGATGTAGCAAGCTGGGTGGTCAACTGAGTTTGTGTAAAAGATTAACTTGGCAAAAGAACTTGGATAAGCCAAATATCCATGTAAAAATTTATGTTGATGTTGAGGGAATGATGAAGACCAGAAAATGCTTTGGCTACTTGACAGGAAATGTATGGAGCTCAAAAGAAGGACAGTGAGTTGATAAACAACTCCCCATGACAGAAACAAAATAAACTGTATGATGATGGATGAAGATGAACATGAAGATAAGCATCATGTATACCCGCCTTTGTCACCTAACAGCCATAACAAAGAAACTTTTGTTGCAGCTCCATGTTTTCCATCCTCAGATGAGTCATCTTCAGGTAAAAACTGAGTTGAGAGAGGTCTATGACAGGTCTCCAATCTCCTGTTTCCTATGAAACCACAATGAAATGGGAGTAAACAGATGGAGAATTAAGATAAACGATTCTGACAGCTACTTTTTGAAGAATATCCAAGACTTCTTGATCCAGAACTTGTAAGCAAACAGGAATGGAAGGAAGAAGAAAAGACACTGTTTGAACAGAATGAGGATGAGGCAAACAACAAAAATTAAAGTAATCAGCATACCAAAGGAGCTGTCAAACCCAAGGGTCCCACAAATGAATAAATGATCTGTTATGGGAATTGTCTAGAAGTTAAGAGTGTTAAGAAGTGAGCTGAAAAGATCAACCTTGTCAGCTTCTATGTTTGATCACCTACAAGGGTCAAAAGTAAAGAGTTGGAGTAACCAGCATCAATTACGACAAAAACGTTAAGGCAGGGGGATAAATAGTGCTTGCTTGCCATCTAAAAGAGGAACAATGGCCAGACATCGGAAGAGATGCTACAACTCTAATCAGCTCCTTTTGATGTGGTTCTCCTGAATGGGAAACTAGTTTGGGTGAACTTCCTGCAATACAAAATAATACAAGACAGAATCTCTTTCAAGATCAACTGAAATGCTGGGGTAAGATAAGAACCTTGCAACCTAGCAAAAAGATGGGCTAATGTGTCAAAAAACATAACAGCCACATGTTAAGAGAAACTATATTAATAAGACCTCAAGTTAATGAAGACTGTAAAGTAGAAATTTGGTCCTAACTAAAAGAATAAAGAGAAAGAAAACAGCAAATACCTAATAACTATGAGAAAGAAAAAAGTCTCAAAACAAGACAAATTATAACTCACAATACAGAAAACTGATAATGGGTCAAACCCATTAGAAGACCATATGGAATCAGTAGTAAAGTTAACAGCACAACTATCAACAAGAAAATTTCAATTATGGCACAAAAGCAGGGCGTATATAAAATATCCTTATGCAGGCACAATCAGTCTTGTTGAAGGTACGAGAGTGGAAAATTATGGATAAGTTGATGGATGCCCTACAATTGCAAAGAGCATTAAAAACTTTGAGTTACATGATTGTGAACATCACGAGGGCAATCTGACAAGAAAAAATTCAGTATTTCAGAGATAAAAATTAGCCTGATCTGAAATTATCATTAAACCGATAGGTTATAATCAAGGATAGTGTACACCTTCTTCATTCAAAGATGAAGAAGAGTATGGAAAACACTTGATAATTGCTTTGGAATAAATTAATGTAAGAAATTTGTACATCTGATACATTTTTTTTTACATAAAGAACTGTACATTTTATCAATCATTTCAGAAACCACTTGTAGTTTTATGCTCTTTATAAATACTCAGAGTTTCTGCAAAAATAAAATACTTTGAGAAGTACCATTTTCTTACCAATTTCTCTTGGTCCTTTAATCCATCTTTCCACTTGTTCAATTATCTGTTGATTAATTATAGGCTCAAATTTTCGACCAAAAAAGGACGGTTTTCTGTCGCCTAAGAATAAAGAAAAATCTACCATAAGCAAAAATGCATTTACTAAAAGGACTTGCTGTTTCTCAAACTCTCTTTACTACAAATAAATTTCTGCTAATACTAACATTAGATAACACAACAAAAAATAAAATAAATTAACAAAAAAGTAAAAGATAATTTTTTACTGCAATCAAAGGTTTGGCTAAAAAAAATTTTCAATTTTTTCATTAAAACATTTGGCCATCCTTTAAAAGTAACATAGATATGGCTTTTTTTAACATAAAACTTGTATCTCTTTAACACTTTTCTTACAAAGTTAGTCAATTTCATTCATCTTGGAACCATGAAACCATACATACTATAAGTCTGAATGTATTACATGTATATTCATAAAATTTGGAAAGCTTTTAGTGTTAAAAAAGTATTTTTACTGAAGACTTGTCTGTGAATTTACAAAAGCTTTGCTGAGTTAGTCTGAGTGAAAGGTGATCTTCATGCTAAGAATAAATTTTTTTTTCATCTTACAATTTTCATATTTCATTTGCATAACCTTTAGGACCTTCTGAATGAATATCAAGTTTTTTCAGTAATATTTTATCTCTTATTTTCTCTACCCTAATACTAACTGTAGCAAAATCATCAGTGTACAGTTAAAAATATATGAAATTAAATGAATAATACCCTTTTTTGTTCTTTTTTGAATGTATCATCTGTCATGAGATTTTCATATTCCTTATCTTTACAATTTCAACTGTTAACCTTTTCACATCTGTTTGCTTTTAATTTTAATGTTTTGTCTAAATATTTAACCAAAGGACTCTGTCAAAAACAATACATCACAGTGGCAGCCCATTAGCTTTTTCCCATAGATGTTTGCACTTGTGCTATAGCTGCATGTAAGCCTCAGTAAATTTTTCCACATTTGGGTCTCCAAACAACGGTTCATGTAGCTTTCAAATATATATATTTTAGAATATAAAAATATAAAATTCACTAGAACAGAACATCCCAAAACTACTATAATTTATTTGGCTTTCTAAGTAAGCTATAAGTAGGTTAAAAAATTCCATTATATTCGGATCAATAACTTTGCTCAATACAAATAAGAACTTCTTCTCAACTACTGTCTTCATCATTAAATTCAAGACGGCAGTCATAAACTTGATACAGAAGAGAATCTGATTTTCTATTGATTAGCAAAAAAAAATATGGAAAGTCAGAGAGAGGGGAAAGGCTTCTCTGATGGGTTTGACAAATTTAGTAACATCTCGGCAAATAAAGAGAGTAGGAGGTTCAAATTTTATAAACTTGCTTACAATTATGTATAGTTTGTTTTGAACTGGTTGAGAACTGAATCAGCCTATATGAGAAGTTAGAAAACTCTAAAGTGAAGAATTTGGATTTCAGATGCATCACATGACACAAAAAATGGAGATTGAGAAGCTTTAGATATTTCTTTTCAAAAGTAAGAAATAAAACTTAGATGATATAAAAAGTTGAGTTCATTCAATTATAAACTATGTTTTGGTGCCAGGTTTATTGACATACATTGATAATAAAACTGTTTAATTAAATTTTGATTGCAAATCTGTAAGAAGTTGTAACATGCCCACACTGGCCTGGCATAGCAACAACAATGACATATTGTGGATCATTACATTTTGAATTAGATCATTGCAATCCCATCAAATATTGGCTGTTTAATAGATAGTTATTTTCACAGAATACCAAAGAACCTACTTGAATTCTTGGCCAGTCATCAGTCTTAAAATCATTTGGTGAACATCCACACCAGTCCACAACATGTCGATATTGACACTTGCATCCCTGTTTTCGTTTCCAGTTAGTAACATGAAGGTTATTATCTATGATGCTTTCACAAAATTCACTGTTCTGAAGTACTGTGTGGAAAAAAGACTGAAGAGAAAGTCAACAGAAACTTGTCTGAATAGTTTGGTTCACTGCAAATAAAACATTACACAATATGCTAATAAAAACTGTTACAGAAGTTAAAAGTTCTGCTGTTTCTTGTTTGTTTACCTCTTTTAAGTGACTAATCTGAAATTATGAGTCACACGAGCAAATGCAATATTGATAAAAAACATGTAAATACAGCAGTCTAAATGCTTCTAATATGTAATGAAGTTTCCTGTATATATTTTCAATACAAAACCATATTTAAAGAAATCTAAATTTCACATGTACTAAATAACATTAACTTCTGTTCACAGCAAGCAACCAACATAGACCAGAACTAAATATCAATAACTAATTAAATACCCTGTTCTTATGCTCTTATCTATAATAACTAGAATGTATTGTCTCATCAGTTAGATACCCTCACTGTTAGATATTTTTAGTTGTAATCCCAAAAATATCTTGCAAGGTCCAGTCAGCTTAGGAGATTTAGAATAACCCTAAATCCATATACTAAGCTAAAAATTCATAATAATAAAAATGAAAAAAAAAAGAAAACACGTATTTAAGAACCTAACCAAAAACGTCAATGACAGAAACATCAGTGAAAGAACAGTGTGTAACATTCTTACAAAACAATCACTAGTAGTTTGCTTCAGGCACTATCAGAATTTGACATCAATACATACAAAACTTAACATAATCTCCCTAACAATGTCATGGAACCAATAAAAGCTCATTAAACAGCTCCTAAAGAGTAATTTTACAGTAGCTTGACTATATAATATAAACTATTATGACACAGTACTGTTTAAAGTTGGATAGCAGGACAGAGCATACAGTACAGCAAAAAACAAGTGTTTATTAAGATAAAGAATAAAGTATAATATATTAAATGAATAACCGAATAGTACAATAAATAGTAAGAAGACTGATATTCTTATTAGAATATAACAAAGTTATTTCTTGAATATCACACAAAGCTAAGCAAGGGCTATCTGCACAAGTCATCCTTAATTTTGAAGTGATAGACTAAAAGGAAGGCAGCTAATCAACATCACCAACTGCCAACTCATGGAATTTGACTGCCACTCTTATAATGCACCCATGACTTCAAAGTGTGAAGCAAGATTTTGTTTTTGACAACAATTAGGTGCAAACCATAATTCCTTGGGTCCACATTACCCACTGGGCTGCAATTATCCTATAATTAAGTTGAATGTAATAAAATGAAAAGTAACACACTGAATATACTATGAGATATTTCTAACACCTGTACTATGATTTTAACACCTGGGATGGGTAGCTAAGGTTATAAAGTTAAATCCTAAGCAACAGCTGAAAAGAAACATGATAAGATTCAAAACAGTTCACAACAATATTAAGACCTATAAAGTAACAACAATAATAAATATAATAAAATAACTTGTAGAAACTAATGTAAATTTACTAATGACAAAATGTTATACATGTTTTTGTAGAAACTAATGTAAATTTACTAATGACAAAATGTTATACATGTTTTTGAACTTATGTTTTTTCTGTATTAAATAATTAATTTATTTTTTAAGATATTTCTTTTTCTGTAGGTTAGTTTCAACATTATTGCAAAAGATGAGGAAATTTGTATTTCATTCAATATCCAGTTTCGATGTTTAGTTGGCGTCGAGCACTTAATTACTATGAAATTTCAGAAAATACCAATTTATAAAATATACGTATATTTAATTTAAAATTTGGTAATTAACCCCTACATGACCATTAAGTTACCATTTTTAGAAGCTCTCTGTTTTATGATGCAAGTCATATTTTTATGTCTATGAGTTTTATGCCCCCAACTCACATTTACTCATTATTATGCCCCATATTTTAATACTTTCTCAAAGGTCCATACAAAAATATTTCCTTTTAGACCTACTGGTTTCTTGAATAGGTTCACATGTACAATCTGTTGGAACCTTTTTAATACAAGATAGTAATTTTTTCATTAGAAACTCTAATGAATTTGAATAAAATTAAACATTTAAAGTTAAATCCTACTGATATTATAGTATATTTTGACATTAAATTCCTTTCCATTTTTGTACCTGTTGATCAAGCCCTAGATTGTCAAAAAACTAAATAAGAACAAATAGTCGTGTGAAATTAATTCTCTAACTAGTTTAACAGAATGCTGAGCAAATAATACTTATTTTACCCATGTAGGAATATTTTATAAATAAACTTTTGGTTTAGTTATTGGTTCTTCTCCTTCACTGTTACTTGCCAAACTTTATATTCCCTTTCTTTGAAGATAATCTTTTTGGAAGCAAATTCTCACATAATCGAAAACCAAAAATCTGTGAAGGTATGTTAATGATACCTTTATTGATCCTTTCTCAAAATTTATTGATTTTTTTATAAGTAATATAAAACCAAATATTATAACTTTCAGTTATGAAGTGAAATCTGAAAATGGTTTTCCTTTTTCTTCTTGTGTTAATTTGAAAGAATTGGATATAAAATAATTACTAGCATTTACAGAAACCCTTATGCCACCTCACAGCAGATCAAATCATCATATATCACAGGAAATGTTTGATAATTATGCTTCTATTAACAGGGCCATGCATTTTTGTACTTTGAAAAAGGATTTAAAATCTTGAACTAAATTATTTACAAAGTGTTTTATTACCTAGAGTAAAACACCCTATTATTCTAGATTGTGACTATGCTAAAATCAATGGTTCATGCTAAATCTCATCTTTCTGTTAACACTAGTAAAATTCCTAGCATCTCCTACTGTATCAGAACTTACCACAGACTTATTGTGTTCATTTGAAAATCTAATATTTGACATAAGAATTGTGTTTAAGCCTACATCACATTTCACATCAGCTTAAACTTCAAAAGCAATATTTAGAACCTACACAAATTTTAAAAGCAAGAGATATGCCTTTAAATCATGAAGATGGTCCTGCTATTACATAAGATTTGGTTAAATTTGTTCTCCCACCTTTTAATTTTATCATTCTTATATAAGCCCTTATAGAATTATCTTATAAATCTTTTACACATGGTCTTTGTGAATCTAATAAAGACAGTCCTAGATGTTTGTTGAAAAGTGTCACAGTTTTAATACATTATTGTAGAATGCTAATTATTGATTTTATCATTATATTAATATTTGCTGCACAATATGCTTCCCTACATAAGTATGTACTTATGCTCCCTTTTTTGCTTATGAATACTGCTCAATTAAAACCATTCAACAACTATGATTTATAATTGAAACCAATTGATAAGAAGTTTTTATTGACTTTAAGTTTATTTCAGCCTACTTCAGTATAAAAAGAATATCTAAATTTTACTTGTGCAAAGTAAAAAAAATTACTTACAAAAAGTCCACTACTCACTGGTAATGGACTGAAGTAATTTCAAAGTAACTTTTTTTTTAGCTTGCTAGCAGTTAGCCTACAGTTGGTAGATAAAGTAGATTGTAATTTAATGGTAAAATTTATGCAAAATGGTTGGTCAACAAGAAGTTTTAGAATAAACTCTACATTATTCTCCCTTCCTGAAAGTTATGAAACTTTTCAGCTCATGAATTGATTAATTATTGATCCCTATAATTTCTTTTATAAGTGAAATGTTTGACATCCAAGAGACTACTTACTTCTGCAGGAAGAAGAGTGTAGCTGAAGACTGTCTTCAATCCAACCAAAAGCTCGTTGTTTTCCTTTACCACATAAGAAGAAAATTCCCTACTTAAGGCAACCCAGTCACTTCCACCATCTATTCGTATACCCCAAGGTAGCGTACGTTCTCCTATTCTCCACATGTGCGTATCACACTCATAAAATGTTTTATCTAAGCCCTGTTTTGCAATAAATCTGAAAACCACATTGAAACATTAATTTACAAAAATTAAAATTACCCAGTAAGAAATAAACCAATATTTTACATTTTCACAGTATTTATTGCACTGCTATTTTAACCCTTTGACTGCAGCTGCTTTAAATGCACGCAGAATTTTTGTGAGCCATATATTGTATACAGCACATTCACATTCAACTTCCAGAGGTGGACCATACCCTATATGGCACATCAGCAGTCAATGGGTTAGCAAGCAATCTCTGATTCACTGACAGCAGAAATGGTAGGACTCTTTGTAGAAACCATATCTAGCATTTAGTCTTTATTTGTGAAAATCTACAAGGATCTGCATTACTTTATGAGGAATCTAGAAATGTACACTGATATACAATTGAATAACACTCAAATAACTGCTTTTTGTCAGTAGAGTTTGGTAATTTTTTACTTTAATTCAGACAGTGATCATGGCATTGTTGTAGCACATTATCTATGAAACACTCGCCATTCCCAGCTTTTTTGTGAAACCTGCAACGAACTATTGAGATATTGAGCCAGAATCTTTGAGTGTTTGTTCTTGTTAAGATGGAAAAATTCCACACTGTGTTCTCTGAGCAGGGGTCAAGTCGACTTATTTCTGTGTGCCTGATTTGTTGCTCTCGAGAGTATCATATTACGGTCTCACATAAACAGTCTATGGGCAAAAGCAGTGATTTGTTGCTTTATTTTCAGAAGGGTTTCTACTTCAGTCTTTGACAGTAAAATAAACAAAGAAAATAAATGTGAAGTGTTTAGCAGTTCAAACTCTGAAAAGAAGTACTCTGAAACTTTCTGACCAACAACAAAGAAAAAAGGGCACAATTAATCCATCCCCTGAGACCTCCTGTTGACAACGCTCCATTCATGACAACGTACAACTCACAAACACCTGTGTCCTGATTAAACCAAACGTAATGGGGGTCCTTAAAATTCAGAAATTTAGTAATGTCAATATGGAATTCAACTTTGCATGGCTTATTTCTGATATTAAGAGTACCTTACTACAGAGGGCATTTGGATGCAGTCAGAAAGGTGCCCTTAATGTCAAGGTTCTACTTTACATATATGTAAATCAAAAGCATTACAAGGAGATTCAAAAATCAAAATTAATTTTTCCATTACCAGTCCTTGTTGTCATAATTAAAACTCATAACAGATAATGTCTGTGGCCATAGCACCGAAACGTGTTGGGAATATTCCGTCTTTCAGACGAGATACAGATGTCGATGTCAAACTAGCCAGCAACTAAGGAAAATCAGTTAAGGGTTAAGAGTTGAGTGTTTGAACTCACAACGTCTCAACTCCTACTGCCTTTTGCTGGCTGCAACCAGTTGTGAGAAGACAGTTACCCTTAATATTTAGATACAATCTTAAAGTAGAGATAAACCACCCTAAATTTCTACCCCATAAAACTCCCAACTTTCACCCATTTATATGTACAAAAAGGCAAAAATATTCTCATAGTAGAAATAGACCGTCCTATATACAAGACTCCCAACCCCGCCCTTTTATTTAATAATTACAAAATTACTTTAAACAGAAATAAAATTCTTTGTTTAATATTAATTCCCCATCTTCCTCCCTTTCTCTTGAAAATTTGTTCAAGTATAAACTAGGTGTGCTCAGACAAGCCCAGCTACCTGAAGTTGGTCCTGCTGTCCCAGTATACTGAACAAAATACCTAAATAATTTAAAGTTAGTTAATTATATACTAAGGATGACCTTGAGTAACTAACAACCTCTACGTTTTCCACAAGGTAGCTTCTGTAATGAAGAATTTACTTTTAATATAATTTTATATTTATTATAAAAGAGTGTACACATTTTTTTTATCTGCCAGTCCTTATAACCATTACTTTTCAATTTATCTATGAATAATTGAATATTATTCATAAAAGAATTACTATTGTTACAAATTGTTAAAAATATTGAGAGATAACAATTCCTTTCAGCAGTATAGATGGAACAACACTGTTAGGGAAGGGTAGACAAAGGATGGGAAAATCAAATTCCCTTTTTTTTTATCAAAAGATCACTTTATATATGTATACATATATATAGACACACACACAGAGCCATCTAACCTTTTAGTACCTTGACCATGGGACTTGACAAAATTCTTTCCCTTGTTGGCAGTTAGGAAACCTTCCAATTGCGATAAAGATCTGTAACACACAAGGTATAATTTCAGTTGTGTTATACATTTTCATATACACTTAACATACAAAAACAAGGAGGATCTTAAAACTTTTTGTTTGTTTCTAATGTTCAAAGGATTTACAAAAACTAAGAAAACTATAACTAATATTTTCCCTCTGCAATAGAAATAGTACTTACCACAGCTTCAGATTGCGCAATAATGTCAGAAAATAAAGATTCCTGATGGAATGGTTAAATAAGACAAAGTAAACATTTGCCTTACCAGAAAATGTATTTCAGATATATTCTCACCCCTCTGCACCACAAGGAGCTTTTACTTTGCACACACTACTATATAAATTCCTGTGCTTGCCACAAACTTTAAATAAATCTCCCACCTCTACATGTGTCGACATGTATTGACCAGCATATGGTGTAATCATCATTAGACTATAGCCTTCCACTTATGGGATGGCTACACATCCTTTACGTGCAGTAACCCCCATGAACACTAGCATCAAAACGAGCTCATTCTTGATGAGGCAAACTAAATGCACCAGATTTAGGGAGAAAGTGTGGGAGATGATGCAGGGAGGTGGGTATCTGTTTGAAATAGATTTTCTGGAGAGGAAAATGTTTACAATTATATCTGTCATAAACATTGGTATTAGGCCTATTACATTTTTAAATACTACATTTTTCATCTAGTCCTTTAGCTTTTTTCAAGAATTAGAAGAGTGTATAATAATAGGATTCCAACCACAGCACATATCCATTGCCAATGACATGTTTCACTCAATCCAGAGCTTTTCAAAATGGCTGAGATACAACAAATACAGCAGTGGTCAGAATACTATTTATATGAGCCATATGACATTAGTATGAGGAAAATGTTAACTTTAAAAATATTACTCACCTCTCTGCACCTCAAAGAGTTAGAACCTCACATTAAAGATTGTGGAAAAGCCATTGCTGATAAATTATAAAGATGATCTCTTTTCTGTAAACAAAGACATCCACGGGGCTGAGGCCAGCACTCAGTGGGAGATTGCATCCACCTCAAGTAAGTATTACAGCAAAAGATGTTGTCATAAAAATTTTGGTGGGGTACTGATGTGTTGCTGACATGGGTAGAATGTTTTCATTTTCCTAAACTTAAAATGTATTTCCAAATATACTTACCTCAACTGACACTACAAGCTATTTCATGATCTTAATCTTTGCCATATAGTGTTGTGTTCACTTGCTCCAGTCTTTCTATACCCCACTTGACTTCCCTCGGAACCACAGTTGGACCGCAGATATGTATATATATATATATATCTTAGTGATAGGATCCCTACCAGTAACCACAGAATCATGCATTTTGAACCACCAAAATAGACAATCTTTCTGATAAACCTGAAGAAGTCCAAAATGCAACATCCCAGGTCTGGATTTACAAACAGTTGTCTTTACTTCCCCACCAAGTGGGCAAGGAGAATTCTGCTTACCCATGGAGTTAAGGAGATAATGAGAAACACTGTCCCACCAAGGACCAAAGATGGGACC